CAAAGAAGAAGAAGCAGAATAAAACAAACAAACAAACAAAACAAAACAGGGAGATTCATAAAACTGAGTGAAAAAAAAAACCCAACAAACTATTTAATAAAAATTTCCTTGTGAATTCTTAGTACTGAATTGGTGCTTAATTACAAGATGTTGTTCTCCTCCTATCAGTTCTGCATGGGTCCAAGCAATATGCAGTGCTGGGAATGAAATGACCCAAGTGGGAAAGGCTTCTTTGCATGCATACATCCAACAGCTTTCCCAGTTGGCGTTGGTGTTTGTACAGTTGTCCTCTGCTGGAGAGCCATGGGCTTTCCAGGAGTCTCACAGCCTCAATGCACTCAATAGGAAGCTGTAGAAAGTGCCCATAAGTGATCAGGCCCCAGATTAAACAATCTCTGAATTCTGTTGTCTTGACTGGAGCTGATGAGTGCTGGGGCTCAGTGGACTGAGTGCAGACTCAGTCACCAGCTGACAGTGTTTAACATAGGCTGCTAATTTGGGTGCTGTGACTCACCTCCTGAAAGTTCTTGCTTCAAGCCGGCTGTACAGGGAAATGGTAATCCTAAATTTAGATGCTGTGGATGTAGTTGAAGGGAAATGGTGTGCTAATACCTGCAGGATATGGCATCTCAGGAAAACATGATGGTTTTACTCATGGTGTACATCATCCTCATCTTGCAACAGAGGAGGGTAGCAGCTGCCTGTGAGCAGCCCTTGCAGCCCAGAGGCAATGCTGAGTGCAGAGGGGATGAAGGCTCTCTGGCCCCATGGCAGGAATTGTGTGCCAGGAGCTCTGGGCTTTCACTCTCCTTGAAGCCATTTGAACTTCAGAACATGCTGTGCCATTCTGCTTCGGTCTCTACTCTCACCCACCCCAAACCTTCAAGCTCCCCGAATCTGTTTTGAGAACGGACATTGGGGATTTTTAAACATGAGCTCATCTGGGTGGGGGCACTGCTGCTGAACAGACTCAGCCAAAACACTTTTCCAAGACTCTGCTTCCTCACAGTTTATCATGTTTTCTTCTAGTAGTCCTACAGTCACCACGAAAAGGGGTTTTGAGGTCACGGAGTGCAACCCATGCTGTCACAGGGGTTGCTTGTCAGAATTTGCTTTCTACAGCTCTTCCTCCTACAGAAGCTGCCTTTGCTTTGAGGCTTTCCCTTGCTCCCTCACACCCAACACCACATGCTGCATCACTTCCACTTTTAGGAGATGCATCAGACAGAGGTCCCCAAAAGTTAGTGAGGCTCCTCACTAACTTTGCTTTTTAAGTGGTTATTTATGCCAATTAGCCCCTTTCTCCCTTTAACCTTGGGATAGAGTGCTTGAAAATAAATTGCTCCTAATATTGAACTATGAAGACGAACATTCTGAAAAAGCGCAGATTCACTTAAGAGCAACGGCTGAGGCTCCTCAAGAGGAATCTGTGTGTGTAAGAGGAACACAGAACCAGGTGGGCGCATGGCTGAAGGTCAGTGGTGTGGATCCAGGTGGGATCTTTAGGAGAGGAGTGCTCATTCTGGGGTAGCACACAGCCCCTGGGTCGGCTTACAGCACAGGCATGGATTCCTCTCTCAGTGACTGCAATTTCCTCCGTCTGGGAAATGTGGAAGAACATAAAATGAAACAAAACCATCAGCCAAGCAAATGCAAATCTCCGTGTCCTCTGTAGGCGCTCACGCAGCCTCGCAAACGAATGCGTGTCAGATAAGCCATTTTCAGATATGAGCTCTGAGAAGTCTGAGTTCAGGTCAATTCCACAGGGGGTGTCGCTGAGCCTTCTGAAGTGCAGTCCAGCCTGGACTCAAAGCCTCGCAGCTTCAGGGAAGTTCAGCTCCAACTCTGCAATCTCTGGTATCAAACTTGATTTGACTTTGATTTGCTGGCCCTTGGTTGAGCTTGGATGGAAGTGAATTGCACTGGCTTGACTACTGTTTCCTACTAATATTTCTTATGGTACTTAACAACAGCCAGAATTAAGCCAGTAATACACTTTTGTTTTTTTCTGTCAACCAGGGTCACAAATAATGGCATATATCAATGCCTGCGGACACTTCTTCAAGCAAAACACAGTTCAAGAGTGTGATCCCTTCTGAGAAGGGTGAGATGCTGCTGCTTCCTCCCTGGTCAACTTAGCAATAAATCACACACACATAAAGCAGCACATTTGTCAATCTCACAACTGGGGGAGGAATTTTCATGTTTTATCCGTCACTTTAGCACTGTCACTGTCCACTCCTTGGAGCATCCAGGGCTCAGGGAATTGCAGGTTGGGGTGAGCAGAGCCAGTGGGAAGCTGAGACCACGGGACCGGGTCCTTTCCCAAAGCGTTGCCATGGATTCTGCTGAAGAGCCGTGGCACTGTGCAAAGAATCAGCCTGGATTTACTTTTTTAGCAGAGAGTTGTTGTCAAAAATAAACTGCCCCAAAGAACTGGGAAATCAGAGAAGGAAACGTGATGAAAGAGTGAAGTGACTTAGAGAATGCCAGAAAGCAAGGAGGCTGCTGCTTGGCTCAGGGCCTCGTGTCAGTGAGAGCCATCTAACAGTTTTACAACCAATGGCAAAATTACACTCTATTAATGAGCCCTCTTTATGGCTCTAATTTATTCTCAGTTCTCAGAGGCAATGGAGTAGAGGCCAAATAGTTTTATCCCTCGGTATTAAAAAGCCACGGGCTGAGAAGCTTAGTGCTGCTTTGTCAGGATTTTCTTCCTCTGGCAAAGTAATAGAATAAAATGACCTTATGAAGAGAGCTCCTTTAGTTTTTTTTAAATAATGGGCTTCCTCTTTCAATTCCAAGCACTTAGAGAAAAAAAGGTGGGAGCGGAGGGAGTAAACACGTATTTTCATTGATTAGTTGCCTTCTCAATATTCAGGAGCTATAGCTCCTAACTGTCAGTCCTGCTGACACTTCTCTGGACAACTTCTGATAGATAGAAGTTAAAAACCGTGTTCCAAGGTGGGAAAGATTGATGGGGTCCAGAGGGGTGAGGTGATGGCAATGGAGGTGACAATGACACGAAGATGTCAAGGGGATTCTTTTAAGTTTCTTTAATGTGGAAAGAAAAAAAGAAAACAAATTTCGTTTTCTTTTTTCTTTGGTCATTAACAGCAGAAGGAATTTTTGTTTTCGTCAGTGTTTATCAAAACAGAAAGTAGATATCCATAGCAGTGAGTCAGCCTGGCTATTCCTGACCCTTTGAAAGGTTTGTCGCGTTTTGAAATCACCTGGTTCATGGATTGAACCCTCAAGAATGTAGCAGGAAATATCACAAGTAAAAAAATTACTTCCATGAGAAGCATATGCTCACACAAACTGATCATCAGATAAGTCTGAACAATAAAAGATTTCCGGAGTTTTGGAAGCCAGAAACTCATTTCTAAGCTAAATCCATGACTAAACGTTTTGGTGTGAACAGTTCACCCAGTCTTAGTCATGTGAAAGGAAGGATAAACAGCCCCCAAGGGAAAAAGCTGAATGCCAACAACAACTGGCCGCAGCACAACCCCGGTGATGAAGGGAGAAGAGGAAAGCCTGAATCCTTGGCAACTTTTTCCTACATTCTCTCATGGTGAGAATCAGATTTTCAATAAAATCCTGTGTTACTGAAATTCACGGAGTACGAGGGCCTGACGTTGCTTCCATCATTCACTACCTCATAACTCAAAGAAGATCAAATGAAATCTGGACTGTCTGAACGCTGCAGCTCGTAGCTGAGCTCTGAAATCATCCTTGGAAAGTTGGAACCTCAGATCTAAATCCTGGATTTTCCAACAGTTCAGATGTTGGGATGTGTTCACACAGCACTGTGCTGTTGTGTCACTCAGGGAACTGCCACACAGGCAGGGCACAATTTGGGGGAAAAGTATCATAACAAACTCCTTTGTCATGTGGCACAAGAAGATCATTTTTTAATATTAATTATGGAAAGGCCTAGAAGTTCCAGGTGAGAACAGAGGCTGAACATGGTGCATATACAAAGGCTCATGCCCCGAAGAGCTTAATTTTAAATAGAGAAGATGGATAAATAGTGAAAAGGAAAACACTTGGAACTAAACTGCATAAAGTTTGTAGCAGAATGCAGCACAGAAATGTTTGGTGAGTCCCCACTCTCCTACACTCTGTCCCAGAGTTTTAGCTACCAGCCTGGGAGTGAGCAATTTCCTCTGTCCTTAGTATGATCTACCCATAAACTCACTGCAGAGTTGTGGTTGCATGCTCCAGTTGAAAGGAAAGCCTTAATTACAAGCGTTGGTTGTTAGGTTTTTTGGAACAACCGTGTCAAAATACTGTTCCATAAAATTCAGATCAAAAGGATTTCCCCATCTCCTGAGCACAGGCAATCTGCCAGCAGTGCTTTAGTCAAGAAGTCTTGTAATGTGTGCTCTTCCCATAATCTGGTTGCATTTCGGGCTGTGTTTGCACTGCACTGCTTGGAGGACCTGCTGCCACATCTGTGCTGCTGGATCTGCTGTCCAACAGCAACCCTACCGCCACCAAACCAGAGCAACCTGACGTCTGCCAGGTGTGCATTGCAGTGTTTTAAGATTTCGTTCTGGGACACAAAGTTCCTCATTTACCATAGCGATGAGGTAAGACAGGAAATGTAAAACAAGGTGTAGCCTAGTAAAAGCAGGCTGCCGTCATCAGAGGAAGACAGAGAAAGTCTGTGCAGCAGTGGGGAGTCAGAGAGCTCCTCACATCTCATCGCTGTACCTCAAGACCCCGAGCACATTATCGTTGGGAAGGTGAATTTCATTCAGGAATTTAGGATGGCTGAGTGTTACTGATATCCGGTCCTCCACGTTCAAGTACGTCAAATGGAGCTGGAACAAGGTCTTAAAATTCTTTTCTTGGCATGAGTCTGATGCACACCACGTGGATAACGTCTGCCTGTTGACTTCGTCGTTGACGAGGAGCTCTATCTTGAGGTCTGTGGGGCTGTGGGAACAGTTGGCAAAGCGGAGGTTGAGGTGGCAGTAGATCAGGTAGAGGCCCTCTGCACGGATCACCAGCTCCTCGCTCTTGCACTGGATGTTGTCACATATACCCTTCCCAGCCAAGCTCAGCTTCGAGCTGTTTACTGAATTTGACACTAGAAAGAAAAGCAAGGACATTGTGAAGTGAGCCGATGAACTCTGGTGGCCTAGATTCAGTTTTATGGATGTGCAGTTGTGGTAAATGGAGACACGTGCTCTGCGGTTTTCCCAATGGAGACTCTTGGAGAGGGCCCCAGTGGGTGGCTGGGCACTCATGGGTGCATTGGGGTGCTGAAAGGTCCCAGGGACTGTGCAGCCCCTTGGGAAACCCAAGACAGGGAGGTGCAGTGGGAAATGGCCTTCTGAGGTATTTAGGGGGAATATGTATTTGCACGTTTGTGTGGGGAAGGTATCTAATTATTTACTGTCTCTTTTGAAGTTAAAGAAAATGTTTACGTGATTGGATACAGCTCCCACTGACCTCTCATGTACGCAGCAGCTCCCTTGGCTGGGACATTCTGTAGGATTCTTAAGTAGTCTTCAGAGGTGTTCCCTGAAGGAAACATCACAGTAGGTGAGCACTCCTGATTTCTTTGTGCTGTCAAAAAGTCAAAGTCTGGCACTACATTCAGTACCACCAGGCTGGGTAAACACCAAAGGATGGGGTGGGATGGAAGGGAAGAGAAGGGAAGGGAAGGGAAGGGAAGGGAAGGGAAGGG